AGCAAGTGAATAAATACAGGAAAATAATTAATTTACAGCGTTTGGTTCCAGCTTTCATTTTCTTCCTTTTAGCGTTGGGAAATCTGACTTCCAAGTCAAATTTTAAAATGCAAATCCAGCACAGCTTCTTAATCAAACCCACTGGGGCCTGCAGAGCTGCTAATTCAGCAAAAATCTGGAAAGCTGAAAAACAAAAAGCCAGGCTGTAGCTGTTTTAAGACACTGATCCAAAGTGACTCATAAATCAGCCTGCTATGTTCAAGTTGTAGTCTGGAAAATATAGAAAAACAGCTGTGAAAACCATAAGGGCTATTACCCCCAACCCCAGCCCCAATTCTGGTGCAGACCAGAGGATTTGTAACAGGCAGACACTAAAGAAGCCACACCAGCAGAAAGTACCTTTCGGATTGTTTTTGCCTGAGCCCAGCTAACTCAAACCCTTGCACGTGATAAGACAAATAATGCTGAAATTCCAGTGAGATCTTCATAGCACTCGAAGCTCTTATTGACAATAGAACAACTTTTCCCTCTTTTGGCTGGCTAAGTAAACATATTCTAACTAGCCCTTCTCTTTGGGTTCAGAACTCCTTGTAAGCACAAACACTAGATGTAAACTCAAGCCTGCCTTTAAAGGCAGCTATAAGGAATGCTTCGAATAGTGTTTTAAGAGCCACCTTCCTTAAAAGTATTAAAAGTTTCTTTTTGAAAAGAGAACTGCAATATGATTATTTTACAGCTCAAACGATTCAAATTTTCATATTCAGGATTCCTATGACTGTAAACTACAACTGAATAAAACGGAAAACATACATATACACATACATTAAATAATTTTTTAACATGCTGAGACACTAAACTTTTTCTGCAGAGTGCTCTCATAAACTAGTCCTAAGGCACACTTGTACTTTCTTAAGTACCTGAGGAAAAGTTAAGATATGGGGAAGAACAATATGCATTTTTCTACTTATTTCTGAACACTGGGAACAGTCTACGTAAAAGCTTTTCCTAATTATGTAAAATTTAAGAAGCAGTTTATCTTACGCCTCCTCTTCCAAACATCAAGTAACAGAGAGCTTAAAGCTCAATTCCACATACTTTTCTGCTCCTTTCAAAAGTGGGGAGAGGAGACCTCTGGAGCGTTAGGCACAAACAAAAGAAACATTTACAATAAAGAATTCGGACCACATGGCTTGGTGACAACTACAAAGTTGGTTAAAAGTCACACAAGTACAAGAATGACAGAGCTGTCCAATGAGTGATCACAGCAGGGCTTCTGACAACAGACCTAGTGCTTATTTGTACAAGTGGAACTTATTTTCACATACATTTAAGGAATGTGGACTTGTACCGAGACAATTTACTGCTGGCGGAAATGTAATTAAAGATTGTGCTAACCAAATAAACTGTAATTTGTTTTTAGTGTGCCACCAAATTATCTGCAAAACAAAATCCTAATTAGGTCAGCTACTTTTAAGACAATGTTTAAATAGGTATCAAACCCCTTTTGGTTTAATGCAACTTCTTATCAAGAGCAATAGAGTTTTTTTTTTTTGAAGACGATTTTTTAAAAAATGACATTTACACACAAAAAATACATTCCACACTGGCCTGATCAAACAGTCCACTTAAAATTGAGAAACTACTGAATATAAGTTAGACTTGGTGAAGGAGCTAAGCATTTCTAAACACACCCCAGGAAGCACTATATTCATTTTCTTTTCTGCATCCTTCTATTATTCGTAAGTGTTCACCTCCAGTCAATGAAACGTTCAGTTCCATAAACTGTCAATAGAGCCATTCATGTTTCATGAATAAGGCAGCATGACCTCCACAAGCAGCAATTGAACAGAATTAGCCACAACTAATTGAAAGTCTTCCTGCTTTAGGTTAAAGCCCTTATCTCCTTCTTCAACTGTAATAAAAACTACTAAATAAGACATCCTGTGATAAGAGATTACACATCAATCTAAAACTCCCTATATCTTTTATTAAACTAAGATATATTAACATAAAGAATATGCTGTTTTGATGGTCAACAATTCTACAATTCACAAACAGAGACACTGATTAGCACAGTGATTTAAAAACAGTTTTCTTAAACCACCTGACCAAACTTTCCAAAACTGTTTTTTGGTAGTAAGGAGAGCCGACTAGAGTTGTTTTTAGAGTTTAGAATTTCCATTGCAATTTTGCTAGGCCCACATCTAAGGATTAAGGATGGACTGCACTTTTGTTTCTTTTAAACAGCATAGCCATTAAAAAAAAAAAGTTTTGGCTGTTCACATTTAGCAGAAATCTTGCAATTTTAATAAAACTAGGGCTGGGAGAGAATAAGG